AATATGTCGCTATTATGAAAAGACATGTTGATATTATGGAGCTAATATAATGTTATGTTTATATTTTTATGAAATTAAAAAATATATTTTTTTGTTATTTAATTATGTGAATCCGTAATCCTAAACCGATCCAATCCGTATTTAAATGGATTCGTTCAAATTGGTTTCACGATTTAAACAGATTGAATTGATTCTAATTTTTCAAAAATAATAAATAATAAATTAGTCCTAATTTTATCTCAATCCAAATTAATGCAGACCATGCTCACCTCTACTTGCCACTGCCTACATCCACAACTCTTTATTTATTTTTTTGTGTTATTTTATTTTATTTTATTTTTTAGTTCGACCATCTATATTTTCCTACCACTTTTACAATCCCAAGTTAAAAAATTAAATAAAGTGGGGATAAATATTATAATAAAAACATGGGGTTTTTTTTTTAAGCTCCCTAATAATAACAATTTTCTGCATAAAGGACATTAAAAAATGTAATATTGCCTCAGGTCCCTAACCAAAATACCCACGCATTTTATCAATTTCTTGGACCAAAATACCCAACGTCTGTTCATCTTCAAATGAGTTGATTTTTTTGACCTGAATGGTGCAATTTCAATGCGTGTTTAAACCTTTTCAATCTCAATTTTTATCATTTCTGGTTGTAGGAATGAGAGATGATTCAAAGGAATTTGAGTTGGAATTGTTCGATGCTCTGAGCAGACGACGAAGGTTGAATGTTGACAAGATCAGCAGAGATGAGCTTTACGAGTATTGGTCTCAAGTCACTGATCAGAGCTTCGATTCTCGACTCCAGATCTTCTTCGACATGTATGCATTATTATTTTTTCTTTTCAAAAAAATTTAATAGATGTATATATATATATACAATCTGTTGCTTACTGTCTTGACTAGTATATATATGATAATTAATCAATTAAGACCATTTGCAACCATAATCAAACAGTCACTCTTAGTTATCTTATCTATGGTTGCAAACATATATATATATATATATATGATACATACATATATATATATACAATGTCAGCACATATATATATATATATATATCCAGTGTTGAATATAACATCTTCAGGTTCAAAATTTCTCTGAGTGTTGAATATAACGTCTTTTGATTTTTTGGGTTTAGTAGAATTGGAGTTGTTTCTGGAAAAGCAATATTTGGACCCCTACTTGAAGAATATTGGAAAAAGAAGCTTGAGGAAGAGGCAGCAGTAGAGGAAGGCCAGTGACAATAACTTCTCTATTGTGTAATTTTATCTGGCATGTTTATGTTTCTTCATTATTTTCTCAAGCAAATTATCTGTGGCTTACTACTCTATTGGTGTGGCTAATTTTCTCTGGCATTTATAATTTTCTCTGGTCACATTATGTTTATGTCTTGTGTCTAATTTTCTCTGGCATATTTATTTTGTTCAATGCTTCATTTCCTCAAAATTTCTCTGTTGTGTAATTTTTTCTGTCATGTTTATGTTGCTACCTTGTAATTTTTTCTGTTGTGTAATCATTGCTACCTTGTAATTTTCTCTGGGATTTAATGTTTATGTTTTCATTCTATAGAAATGGCAAAGCGCAGAAGCAGCACAACCCCAGAAATCCCGAAAAAGAAACCAGAAGTCTCTGTGTCTGCGTCTTATGATCTTAGATCAAAACGTAGTAGCAGCACCAGAGCACCACAAAAAAACAAGTCCAAGTTGAAGAAGTAATAAGCATCAAGATCAAGACACCAACTTCAAGGGTGATTTTCACTCAACTACAAGCTTAACATTTTCTCTGTCATTTTCATTGGATTATAATAACAAACCTATGATTTTCTCTATACTACAAAGAAAAGTCCAGAACCATGAATAGTGCAAAAAAAAAAAAAATGAAAAGTGCAAAGAAAACATATCAGAAAACTTTGAAAAGTGCAAACCTATAAAAACACATAAAAACACAACATATAAGTCCATAGAAATTTGTAATACTTATCATTTGTAATACAATCATATGATTTTCTCTGGACTACAAAGAAAAGTCCAGAGAAATTTGTGAACTTATATTCACTTTCAATATAACAAAAACAAAAACACATTAACATCAAGAGACAAAAATATATTAAACACAAGCACATAAAAAAATCACAGAGAAAATCTGTTATGTTCACAAAACACTTAATTCAAAAAAAATTTTAAAAAAAAACAAAACATTTACTGCTCTATTGCTACGTCTGTAAATTTCTCTGCCTACTTACAATTTTCTCTGTGATTTTCACTGCACTACAAGTTTACAATTTTCTCTGTGATTTGAGTTCAATTATAGTAACAAACCTGCAATTTTCTCTGCACTACACAAAAAATGCAAAGTGAACAAAAAACAGAGCACAAAACGCAGAAAAACAGAGCACCAAAAAGGAACTCATAACCATGTTGACAGAGAATGAAAAAGCAACTCCAAAAATCAAAATCAACTCCATCGAAAATTCATCAATAATAGATAATGAAAAATTAACTTCAAAAATCAAAAAGAACAACACTGAGTTCGTCTCTCTCACATTGATCAAAACTAAAAACAAAAACCTAATTCAACACCTACACGATCAAATCAAATCAAAAATTGAAAACTTATCTATTTCAACTCCACATGAAATCAAATCAAACACAATAAACCAGATTTCAACTCCTACACGATCGATCAACACCTACAAACAACGAACATGATTTCAACTCGTATAGGATTTCAATACCTACAAACAACAAACAGGATTTCAACACCTACAAAAACCCTAGAAAATCTCCACAAAAATTTGAATCGTCAAGTTCATCCTCACGTAATCTCCTACAAAATATCAATATGATCTTTAGCTGCCAAATTGAAAACAACGTATATTATAAACAAGGGGAAGACAGGTATTTTACACTCTAAAATAACATTGAGGGACCTTAGGCTACAAAAGAACACATTGTGGACCTAATCCATTACTAAAAGTTGGATAGGGACCTTAAACTGATTTTCCCTAAAAACATTCACCAACAATTAAAAAATAACAACAATGATTCATTGTATAAATTATTATTATTATTTTATTTTTTTTGCGCAATACTTTATATAGTATGTAAGATTTCGAAGTTGAAACAGTCACATCATATAATGAAAGTTTAATAAAATAGATAATATGGTAAGTATTTTGTTTTGGTGTATTTGACTTTGACTTGATTAATTATATTTGGAAAGTATTGAAATGTTAAGCAAATTAATTTCAGAAGTATAAATTAGGGAGCTTTTTTTTTTTTTTTTTGATAAGTTTTTCTTTTAAGAGTTTTATTCGAACTAATTTATATTCTTTTTTGTTGTTTCATTAAATCTTGTTTGAGGTAAGAAAATTAAAACACCACAATCTCTCATGCCCACTATTAATGTTATTTGGGAAAGATCAGTTTAGTAAAAAAGTCAAAAAGTTATTAAAAAGTCAAAAAGTCAACAACGCATATCAAAAAGTCAAAGATTCTCATCTCTCTACTTTTTGCACATCTTTTCGTAAAAAGTCAAAAAGTCATCCCAAACATACTAGTTTTTTTAAATCATATTTTAGCCAAATAATCAAAAAGTTACTAAATTAGTCTGTTCCCAAACGAGGCTTAATGTTGATTGTCATTATATTTTGATAGTTTTCATACATCAGGATGTTGATTGTCATTATATTCATATTAATTTAAAATAAAATTTTGTCATTGTATTGTCAATTACATGATGTGGATATTTACATCATGTAATTGAAATGAATATTCACATTAATTTGAAATAAATTTTTTTCATTGTGTTGTCAATTATATGATATGAATATTCATATTAAAACATACGAATGTGAACGTTCACACCACTGCATGTTGTGAATAAAAATGTGTTATCAATTAAAAATATAACATGTTGTGAACGTTCACATCACTACGTTAGATGAGAGAGAATTTTTCGAAAATGTGTTGTGAATGTTCAGATGAGAAAGAATGTTCACATTATTTTTAATATGTTGTCAATTAAAAATAAGAAGGTTCACATCACTACGTTAGATGAGAGAGAATTTTTCGAAAATGTGTTGTAAACGTTCAAATCAAATGAGAGAGAGAATGTTCACATTATTTTTAATGTGTTGTCAATTAAAAATATATTCACGTCAGATGAGAGAGAATGTTCATATTATTTTTAATATGTCGTTAGTTTAAAATATATTCATATTATATAATAATATAAAATAATAACATTAATGTTATTTAATTTGCGTATGAAATTTCTTATGCCTTGATCCTTTCCCTTCTCTCTCATTCCTCAACATTAAATATCAATGTGAAATATAAGAGTACAAGAGTCTAAGAAAATAGTGTAAATCAAGAAAAAGAATTTTATGAAATAAAAGTATAAATACATGAGACTAAGCGGGTTAAAAAATTCATTCATAGACTTCTTAAGTTAGAACACTTTTAAATAAGATATATCAATAAAAATCCCTATAAATTAATATTAAGAGTAATACTAGACAAAACTATTAAGTTAAATATAGAGTAAATTATACTTTGTCCCTTATACGTTTCGTCACTTTTTCACTTTGATCTTTCAAATTTATTTTTTCTCACTTTAATCTTCATATTTCAAGCGTTTTTCATTTTATTTATAAAATTAATTTTTGTTAAAAATTAGACCAAAAATTACAAATTAACAATTACGTAATATAAAAATATTTTATTATATATAACTCGCACTTTTAATATAAATATAAATTATAATATAATAATATATTTTTTATGTTATGTGATAATTATTGTGTGATTTTTTATTTAATTTCAAACAAAAATTAATTTTAAAAGTAAAATAAAAAAAAAGTTTGAAAGATGAAAAGATAAAACACAAAAAAAATAAATTTTAAAAATCAAACCAAAAAAAAGTGATGAAACTTAAAAGTATAATTTATCATAAAATAAAAATGGTAGCTTTCTGCACGTATTTTTGTTAGGCCTTGGAGTTGCTAGTCTGCTTGTAATGGTAGTCTCTGTTTCTCAGAGGTATGCAACTCTGTATATTTCGTTGCAAAGGGAAAAGGAACAAAACAGTGAAAAACACTTTCTGTGCTTTTTTTGAAACGTAAACGAAACTCAAAGACAAAGAGAGATTACATTGCCTTTGTGTGCATGTAATGCGTTTTGGGACTCCATTTAATGCTCCGAATAGTACTGAGATTTTGTGTAATAAAGAGCTTTCAATGGCTGAATATGAATGTGAATACGAGTTTCTTTATTTCAAAAGCTTTCAAGCCGGGTCCTCGTATCTTTAGAGGGCCTTGTTTGGAATAAAGGGTCCGATTATGGGGGTTTTGATGGTTTTACTTCATGGATTTTTCTGGGTTTTGGATTTCCGAAGTGGGTTTTGGATTTTCAAAATGGGTTTTTGATACTTTCTGGATTTGCTTAGTATTTGGGTGCAGGGAAGGTGGTTTTGTAGAGTCAATTTAGGTTTGTTTGTTTTTTTTTTGGGACTGAGATTGGGCTTAGGGCTGGGTTGGAGATGGACGAGACTGATCTTGAAGAAGGGGAGGCTTATCCTCCTTACCCGGATGATGATCGAAACATCGATCCTGATGAAGCTTTCTCTTACATTGTAAGGGTTTCCTCAAGATTTGGTTTGAACTACTTTCAAATGTTATATAGTGAATGATCACTAATAATTTGAAATGTTAAATAAAAAGTAAAGTTGTATTTAATTTTATATGGATATTTTGGTTTTGGTGTTTCAATTGATTGGAACGATGCTTTTGCTGGGTTTAAGTTTGGTGCCCATACTGGAGTTGAAGAAGTGATTAACACCTTGTTGGGATGTAGTTTTTTTTACTAGCTTTTAGATTCAATAAGATACATTCTAAAATCTAGTAAAAAAGGTGCATCCAAACTTGCAATTGGTCGTATGATCTTTGATGTAAATATACATTAGCAGTCAATGTTCCTTGTTGATATTAGTTAAGAACACACGATTCAATTCATGTGTTTATGTAAAATTGTTTGAATTGGATAAGCAAGTGTATCAAACTAGGCTTTCCCGAATGAAGTCATAGTGGTTTAGTCCTAATATCCATCTATATGGTGTTCTGTACATGCTTCTGCAAGAAAGCCAATAGCTTGTATTTTGTAGTTTTGATTACATATGTTTGGTTCAATTAAGTTGGGTTTATAGTTGTTAACACAAAACTAATCAAAATAAATTTTTAGTAAGTAAAATAAATAACGATCAAAATCTCACACATAGAAGTTAATATTCTGATAAGACTTTGAAATGTACTCGATAAGTATTTATATGAATACTTTGAACTATGAAGACACTCCGAGCTGAGGGTATCTTAAGTTTTGAGACACTCTGGTCTTACACTCTTTTACATGACTTGGTTGCTCACACTCCATGATTAGGGTAGTAGTTGCAAACATTTAACTGGTGAATTTGCTGGTGCTTTTGAATTTATTATGAGTATTATAGTATCCATTGGGTATCTTATTGGATTACTAGAACCATTTGCCGCAGGCTTGAAGTAAAGTGCAAGACATCCTTGTCATTGCCATATTGTTATTCGGGTCTTATGTATTTATTAATGTCACAACTTATAGACAGTATTAGAATGCATTGCTGCTGTATAGGTTCACTTAGTGGTCATTTTGAAAAATCTTCTATTATAAAACTGATATAAATTAATGTGTAACTTCCACATTCTTCACATGTGAAAGCTAAAAGGTTATGTAAGAATGTGGTAGAGAAAATCAGTTGAGTTTTTGGGGTGTAGTTTCTGAATTTAAATTTTGTCATAGATTGTAATCCATTTGGGGTGGTCACTTGCAGATTTTGTGTTTAGATTTGGTTTTGTTAGAATGTAACTTTCGTATTAATAAGGATGGAGAGGTTGGACATAATTTGATCTATACTATAAAAGTAGGTTGGTTTAAGTGGAGGAGTGCTTCTGGCTGCAAAACAAAATTAATATTACATTTGTATCCTGAATTTTCATTGGGTGTTTGTTAATTTGTGGCCCTTCTAGTTCCTGTGTGGCGGTATTGTTTTGTTGAATTATATACTAAGTGAATGATTTTTGCCTTTTGTAATTTAGGATGAGAGGATTCAAGATGTTTTGGGACATTATCTGAAGGATTTTGAGGGTGGGTTTTCTGCAGAGAGCTTGGGTAAGTGAAACATCTCAGAAAAGAAAATTGGATATATTGAACCTCGAGGAGATGCATATATGCCATCATGGTATTCTTTCAAGTGATGCTTTGGGAATTATTCCTTCTGACAGGTGCAAGATTTGGTGGGTATGGTTCCTTTTTACCTGCTCATCGGCGCTCTCCCTCTATTTTGTCCAATCTAAAAACTCCCCAGGAAGTTGGGAGCCACAGCATCCCAAGACCTCTGCATAATCGTCCCTCTGAGGTATATTTCACTTTTTTAATACATTAGCTGTTCATTAGTCTGGAACAAGAAAAGTAAAGAACTATGACTGGCTTGGTTCTTATTCTTTCTTCTCTCTTCTTGATTCAATGTTTCAATTTTAATAAAGCACTTTTGTTATGTTACCTAACATACAGGGTGCTCATCAGAACTCTACGATTCTAATGAGTGAAGCTCTGCATGTAAGACATGAACCTGATTCAGACGGTGCTCTACCACCACTTGTATCAAGGTCTTCCATGGATAGTTCGGACATGCCATTTGATCCATCCAATCACAAAATGTTGAAGGTTCGGATCAAAATGGGTTCTGAAAGTATATTGGCTCTAAAAAATGCACAAATATACAGTGGTCTTGGTCTTGATATGTCTTCATCTTCATCGTTAGAAGAAAGCACAGCCTTATGCAAAGGGAATTTAGCTGAATCTCAAGAAACACTGGGTGAATCTCCTTCCTGGATTATTAAGGTAAATATTCTTCCAGCATTATGCTATTTAATATTGGCATATCTCAAGTGTTATCTTTGACGGAATTAGACATTTTTTTTGGTCTGTTGGTTTTTGCAAGGCAAGTTATTTTTAATTTTATGTTTTTGGCGCTATTGATGTATGGAGCAGATGATGACCTCTTTTCCCTTTCCTGATGGTGTACTGTTATCACCTCTTGAAGATAGTTTGGTTCACTTGGTGGAAGAGGAAAACTATCCAAAACATACTAGATCCGGGACTGTTCAAGAAATTTCTGCCATAATAGCGAATGAGTTTGCTCCTGAAAAAGGGAACATAGAAGTGTTTCAGAAGAAGAAACTGAAGCTACAGGACAAAACTCGAAGTTCAGTGGAAATGATAAATGAGAGTTGTGAGGATCCTGTGAATGTCATTGATACCCATCTAAACCAAGAAATAGATATTCAGAACTCCATTGACAAGGAGATTGTTTCTAGTGCCTTGAAGCTTCAACTTACATCCGATGAAAAAAATGAAGTCCTCAATGTGGTGGAAGGTACTGGTAGCACTTCTAAAGGAAAAATGGATGTTCCGAAGCATAGAATCGGGACCTTTATTATAGGAAAGGAAGGAGCATTGGAGTTATTATCTAATGAGCAGGCTAATGGGGCCCATCCGAGGGGGAATGCTAAAACTGGTTTGTTTGGAAAGGTTTGTGAAGATAAAAGAGCTGGTCTTGATATAAGAGATAGTGGGGCTAAAGTTGACAGCAGCTCTGTTTCATCTAAAGTGAATAATGATATCCCAAAGATAGTGAAAGTTTTAGCTGGTGGAACAACCCAACCTGCTAGACAGAAATTTGATCAGAAAGCTCCTTCCCATCTGCAGGATAGAATGAAAATTTATCATGGAAAAGAAAATCCATCTTCTGAGGGAAAAAAGAAACTGAAAGGAAGTCAAAGCAATGACAGATTGACTGCAGAGTCACCAAAGGAAAGCTTGATGTCTGGTTCTTCTAAGGCACCAAAAGATAAGAATGCTTGTAACAGCTACTTTCCTCCTAAAGGTGAAGGGAATGATGTGAAATCATATCAGGATTTGAGGAAGGCAAGATATGACCTTAGTTATTTTGGTGGGAAAATGAAATTGGGGAAAAATGGAGCGAAACTCTCCAAGATTGGGGATGCTGAGAAAGAAATGAATGCATTCAGTGGCAAATCAAAGGAGAGATCAGGTGGTAAAAAACCTAATTCCCTGTCAACATTTGATGCACCTCTGAAAGTTGATCTGAATGACACTGCTTTAATGGAAAACAGACCCAATTTGAAAGTGTTTCCCACAGAGGCTGCACCAGTAGTCATAGAGGAAAATTGGGTAGCCTGTGACAAGTGTCACAAGTGGCGGCTTCTTCCATATGGTACAAATCCAGACCACCTCCCAAAGAAGTGGCTGTGTAGTATGCTTAATTGGCTGTAAGTGCTTTTCCTGCATGTAAATGTGATATATATATATACATGGTTGTGGTGGTGATAATGTATGAAGACCAACTAGCATGACCTGAGGATGATATTTGACAATCATCCTACAACTTTTCGAAGTTGTGAAGAACACCATTGATTAGAGTTCTATTTTCTGGTTCTTTTTATTCTCGAAAGTAGCTTAGAGGACTCTACTTTTCTAAAAAAGTATGTTGATGTAGTTTTTCCCTTTTCAGGATTCACATTTTCTTGAAGGAAAACATTTATGTAAAATTTTTCAGCAGAAAAAGACCAAGACTCAGCTTAGTTGAGTTTTCAAATTTTGTTTTTGAATTAAAAAAAAAAAAACTAATTTGTTGAAAAATATGAAGAAGAAAAAAACTCATTATTTTCGTATGATTTTCTCTTTTAAGGGCGGAAATAATTTTAAAATTTGAAAATATCTTTTTTGGTGTTGATTTTTGTAAAACAAATTTATGATTAAAAAAAAATCAGATTTTTTTTTTGAAAACTCAACCAAACAGGGCGAGGGTCTTTCTGTGATGAAAGGTTTGTTATAGGAGCTAATGAAGGAGACACGAAACTTTCCAAACATAAGGGTGAAATATTCCTTAAATAAGTGGAGTCAGCAGAGATATGTATATCTATTTTTTTGTCAGCATTTTTCTGGGATTATTTTGTTAAAACTAATGGACTACTTTGCAAATTTCTCTCTGTCTAACCCAGTAATTCACTTGAAACCTTTTTAGGCCTGGAATGAACAAGTGCAGTTTCAGTGAGGATGAGACCACGAATGCTCTGAATGCATTGTATCAAGTTCCCACTTCTGACATTCCCATTAATCAGTTGAGTTATTCTAATCGAGTAGAATCTGATGTAACCTTGGCCAGTGGTCAGCAGTTTGATCCAATTCCCCAGGAGGTTGGTTTCAATGCTGTACCTGGCGGTGGAAAGAAGAAACAGGGATCAAGAGCAGTTTCAGATGCAGGTATACATGGTGCTTCTATGAAATTCTCTTGAAATCTATGACCAAAACCCAACAGGTCTCTTTTAGAAGCAGAAGTTTAATGAATGTAAAATTTCCTCTCTGGAGTCAAGGGTCAGAGAAAAAAAATTTCCTCTTCATTTTCCTCTCCGTTGAAAATTTTCTTGGCAAGGTTTGTGACGGTTTGGTTGACTAATGTGTTTACTTTGCAGATGATGCTAAACCATTGAAAATTAAGGGTAAAAGAGAGGCTGATCAAGATGGATTTGAAGTTCACAAAAAACCAACGAAAATAAGTAAGCATTATACTGACGTGGTTCAGAATCCTGGCGGGTCAACAAAGCAAACCAGAATTGATGATCAGAAAGACAATAAATGCTTTGCTTCTCATTATTCACAGGCAAAGGATGGTTCATTAGCTTCTAAAGAAAAACAAAAGAAGCATGCTGAGAAGATTGTGACTATGGAGGAATGTGGCAAAAAGGAGATTTCCAGCAAGAAGAGGAAATTGAAGGACTTCCAGGGTACTCAAATTAATTCAGCGATTCCCCTGAGCAAACATCAGATAGAGAGAAAGTCCAGTGAACTGAATTATCAGGAAAATGCTTTTGATAGAAGTAAGGAGATTCATGGGAGCAAGGTATCTATATCTACATCTACTCTTGATGCTAGAAGTTGTTTGAGAAAGGATTTGGGATCAGGACAGCCTTTTGTTGCAACTACCTCTAGCTCATCTAAGGTTTCAACCACCTGTAAAATTAAAGTTCGCTTGCGAAAAGTTAAGGGCTCACCTGTAGAATCAGTTACTTCTTCACCTTTAAGGATTTCCAACCCAGACAGTCTGAGCAAGAGCCTCTTAGGACTGGATGATGCTTCAAGTGCTAGTTTCTCCATTACAAATAGCCAGAGAAGAGGCTCAGGAGGTAACTTTGATGATGGAAGTGATCCTTCTGAGACAATACGAAAGGAGAAAGATCGGAATCCAATGGAGAGTTTGAAGTATAATGTGGAGAGTAACCCTCCGGATTGTACACCTTACAAAGAAGAAATGGATAGTGTGAAGAACAAAACCCAGGCGGATTACAACATTAAGTCTGAGAATGTTCAGAGAAGTTATGTTGGTAGGAAATTTTTTCCTGGGAAAGATCTAAATAACTGTAGGAAAAGAGGGTACCAATCAGAATCTGAAAAGCGCAAGGATCCATATGCAAAATCAGATACTAAGTGGCAGGATGGGAAATCTACAGCAGAGAAGAACCATGAGAATGAAAGATCCGCAAAGGATACATCTTGTCATGCAGCAAATAATGCCTTGAAAGAGGCTAAGGATCTTAAACATTCTGCCAATCGTCTTAAGGTATGTCAACAATTTTGGTGATTTAATTTTTGTACTTTGTGATATACTCATAGCTGTAAAATATGTCATTCGCTTACATGATTCAACTATGCTGTGAAGATTTCTGGGTCAGGACTACGAAGCACCGAGCTATTCTTCCAAGCGGCTTTGAAGTTTCTTCATGGGGCATTGCTTTTAGAACATTGCAACACTGATACTGCGAACTACGGGGAAATGACATCAATGCAAGCTTATGGTACTACTGCAAAATTATGCGAGTAAGTATTGACTGCAAACTGTGAAATATTGTTACATCTCCATCAAACAAGAAAAAAAAAAAAAAAAAAAAAGAGAAAAAAAAGGGAAAAAAAAAAAAAAAAAGAGTACAATAAGGGAAACAAAAGATGTGGAAACATATAAAAAAGCAATAATAATAATAAATGGTGTTTTCTTTGCCGTGCCCTTATATTGGAGAATACGGGATGGAGAATCTCTGAGGCTTTTCTGCCTAGCATACCGGAAATGAAGTCGTTAGGTGTCAAATACACTTTAGCATACATGAACATTTAAGACGATGAAAAATGGAAGATAATAGGGGTGACATAATAACTGGAGTAAAAGTTTAAGATGAAGTGCTTACATCATGAAATTTAGATTTTATCCAGCCACATGTGCAAAGGAATGGTCAAGCACTTCATGATCTCTCAGTTTGTTTCTTGAGAATCTTATTATACTTCTACAAGAGCTATGAACCTTTACCTATTTTTTTTTAACTGTATATATATTGTTTCTAATTGGGCTTCACATCTTAAGCTATAAAGATTGATTTGATATTGTGAAGTGCAACATCAAAGATTGGACTTAGTTAACTCGAAATATGCTTTGCAGTTCTTTATTTCTTCAAAATATATTTTTTGTCCAACACTTTTTTGGAGTCTTAGAACTAGAAGAAAGTGACTGGTGTAACTTTAATGAGACAAGGATTGTTTATTTGCATTAGGAACTTACATTTGCCAACAAGTATCATGCTGTCTGAAGTGTCAAGATATTGACACACTATCACACTTTTCAAATCCTAGTGTTCTGGGTCATCTTTTCTTGTTGCCCATATATGTAGATGGAAAAATCTCTTTCTCGAGAACAATGATTTTCTTTGGTTATTTTTTAAATCTTAATTGGTTGTTTCTCAGTTTGGTGAAATTAGCATGAGCTTTTGCTGCATTTTTAAATTTTAATTTTTGTTATTTTAGTCATTCATCTGGTTTGTGATGCCAATGTATACTTTTTTGACATATACAGATACTGTGCCCATGAATTTGAGAGATGCAATGACATGGCATCTGCGGCTCTTGCATACAAATGCGTGGAAGTGTCATACATGCGGTTAATCTATTCCAATGATCTCATTGCAAGCAAAGACCGTCACGAGTTGCAAATGGCTCTTCAAATGGTTCCTTCAGGTAATGATAGTGAATCCCTACCCTGAGAGGTAGCCAATTTTATTTGATCCTAACTCGTAACCTAGGGCAGAGGACTTTTTCTTGCCTTTCTTTCCCTTTTTATATATGTTGATGAATCTCATTAAAAAAAATAAAAAAAATCTGTCAGTGATGTGACTAAGGCCTGGTTAAAGGAAATACGTGGGTTAATGCCCTTGCCTGATTAGGATACAAGGCTTGGTTTTATTTGTTTTATACCCTGTTCAACTTAAACTGTTTCCCAAACAGGTGGACCAGCAAAAAAAGTAACTGCTTGACTTGGTTGCTTACATGCCAGTTCTAATCAATAAAATACAGTGAGAAGGGATGAATCAATTAAAAAGATATTATGTTGCCTTGAGTGTCCAGGATTTTTTCCCCCATTGTGAATATAAATTTTCTGGTGATTAAGATAGAGGTAGCCTACATTTTATGACATAATGTAATGGGAATTATTGATGAATCACTTGTTAAAATTGGGAAGTCTATCTCACACCCCAGCAACAGAAAATTGAGTGTGTCTTACCATGTGAATATGAAATTGGTTTGGCTACCTTAAGGCCTTTTATGTGGGTGGCTGCTGCCCTACTAATCCCACCCAGTTCTTATGTTTTCTGAACCATTGGTTTAGAATGTGGGAGTTGCATTTTATTTTGGATGCTTAGCTTTATAATACTTCTGTAACACAAGTCTTCTGTTAATTTTTCAATATTTTCCACAGTTGAGTCTCCATCATCGTGTGCCTCAGATGTTGACAACTTAAACTATCAAGCAACAATGGATAAGGCAAATGTTCCCAAGGATGTTGACTTGCCTCAACTTACTATTGATCATGTTGTTGCTGCTAGAAACCAGCCACGCTTTGTACGGCTGCTCAATTTTGTGAGTATACTATCTTTATTATCTTTTCTCAGTGATTCTTTAGGAAAGAACAAACAAAAATTCCTATCGACTGAATGACTTGCTTGGGCACACATTTTTTAAATGAATTGTATTTGCTCCAGCTAGTTAGGAAGTTGCTTAGAGTAAATTTTGTGGTGCCTCTAGTGTTTCAATATAGAAAAGAGGTTCTTGGCAGTATTTGGGCTGGTCTTTCAGTATGTTTTATTTCTTAGGATTTAGAAGATCATCATTGTCACCATCATCTTCTTATCCTTCTGCTAACTGCCAGCCAATGGAATGCTTCATATGCACTAATGGTAGGTCATAATTATTGGAGAGCTTGATATGAATTGTTTGGCCTCTTCCCTAACAGTTTAAGTTTTGGGGAGTATTCATGATCTAAAATGGTATTAAAGCTCAGGATAGGAGAGGTCTTGGTTTCATGTCTCTCCAATTGCATTAGTTTTTCTATTTGCATTATATTTCTCTACATGTTTGGATGTTTGCATTTTCACGTGCAAGACGGGTTTGCTCATGAGGGAGGGTGTTGGAGAGCTTGATGCATAGTTGGACTCATTTCCTAACACCTTAAATGTTTGGGACTAGTGGTGATCAAACAATAATCAAGGTGCAAACAAGCAATGTAGGGTGATGTAGTTGCTAGGAGATGTGGCACATATATGAACTTCTCTTTTGGGCAACTCATCCTTCCCTTTATCTATGTCCAAATCAGAAATCATTCCATCACACTTGTTTGCTGGGGGTTTTAGGTAAGCATTGGAACATTATGCTGTAAGTATAGTTGCTAGAGTACCATGATGTAGATCTGAGTAGAAAAATTATCCAAAAGGATTGTAGTAACCAATTAAAAGGAGCTTTATCTTTACTGCAGACTCCGGTTGCCCCTTGTTGACATCAAAATGGCATTTATTCTATTCCTTGTTTCCTTCCATAAATTGAATCTTTTAATTCCATAAACTTGGTATGTTTCTTTACTTCTTAACTTTTCGCAGGCACAAGATGTAAATTTTGCAATGGAAGCTTCAAGGAAATCTCAGGATGCGTTTGCCGCTGCTAGTGTAGTTCTTGCTGAGGCAGGAAACAGTGAGGGTATTTCTTATGTTAAGAGAGTCCTTGATTTCGGCTTCCATGATTTAGAGGGACTATTAGATCTGGTGCATCATACAATGGAAGTTCTTAATAGTTAATGTTCCCAGTTGTTACTGGGATGGACTGGCACTTTTCTGAATATAAGAGAAATTTACTTAATTTTTATGACTCTCTTCTTTCTCAGCCATCAGCTGGTTCTGACTTCTGAGCATGGGCGGAGCTATGTATGAACCCACTCAACTTTGAATTTTTTTTTTTTTTTTTCATAAGTATGTAGTATTATATAAATTTTTTGAGAGGTTTTAATAAATTGACCATTAAAATTGTTCAAAAAAATATATTTATGAACAAAAAAAAATCAAAAAAAAAATTAATTACATGTTTATCATAATTTTATACCATCTTTTATTTAGCATGCATAACTATTAATGATTAAAAATGAATGAGACTTATGGATATCATTATAACAATTATTGTGTATGTCATACATTAGATATCATGTAAAATATGGTGAGTGTAACCTTATTGATATAAATATCATGATATCATTTTTTTAAATAATGATAAAAAAAATTATAGATAAGTTTTGTATAAAATGATGTAATTTAGTATGAATCTTTCATTTTAAAATAAAATACTTATGAAATTTTATATATAAATATAAATAGAGTTTATATGAAAAAAGAAAGAGAAAAAACAAAATAAAAAACAAACAAACTCATTTGCAAGCATGAAATTCTTAACTCTTTACAGAGACATTTATTTTTTTTTAATTTCTCAAGAAGAATTATTTTGTCTCTTGTCTCTATTCTTTTTGATTTCATCTCTTGTGTCTATTTGATTGATTGAAAATTATAATGTCCATGTCTTTAATTTTATTGAAGAGTATATTATTGTACCTAAATATTGTTGTGTAATTTGATTAGTTTGAATTATTTTTTAATATTATTATATATATGACATTTTAGTATATTTATATTAGATATGTGAAAATTCATTTTGATAAGCGTTCTAGAATTACAAATATAACGTAATGACATCTTTGATAACTGATCAAATGTTACCATTTAAAGAAATTTTTTCGTCACCATATTGCCTACACAAAATCTCCCAAAAAGTTTAAGAAAATGCAAGAATATTGTACACAATTCTAAAACTTGTATAGAACTCTCTAGAGTAGATTCTTAATAATTCTAGAAGGTTGTGGAAGGTTTTAAGAGAATTTCACACACCACATTAATTGTATATTTTAAATTGTTCTTAATGAGTTGCCTGTATAAAGGAGAAGACTCATTTGGCCAAACTAGGGATAGTCATTTCTCCCTGCTCTGCTCCACCCCCGCCATGCACGGGTTTTTCACACTCCGATGAGGAAGTAGAGCGGGGATAAATTTTACTTCTTCCATCCTGATTATATTTATTAAATATATTTATGTATATAATATATAATTTAAATGACATCAATGATAACTAATTAAATAACACTACTGAAAGAAATGTTTTGGCCACATCAATCTGAATTTGGCCAAAAAAGTTAAGCTTTCAAAAATTAGTTCAATTCTTGTAATTCTTTGAGATTGGAGGTTAGAAGAGAAATATTTAATATCACCTAGTAATTTTGTGTTCTTTCTTTTTTATTTTTGGTGGTTGGGTGGGTAAATAATGTACAACTTTTATAGATGCTATTTGCCTAGGAAAATAGCATTTTTGTTTTTGAAATTGAGAGAAAATGTACACAGTGAGTTTATGAAATTGTGAAGATATATGTCCAAGTCCAACCATCTCTTTGGCATATCAATTCTGATGATGTTATAAGTCTGAGCACTATGCCGCCTTAGGTTAGTAATATTTCGTTCACTTCTCTCTCGCTTGCAAGTGGTATAAAATGGTTCTTATCACAATTGCAATGATAACTCAATTATTGAAAAAAATGATAAGAAATGGGAAGTTAAAGATGATACACCTATACATAAGACAAATCAGTAAATTGATACTCTTTGCAGATTTTGTGAATAAGGAAGTTTTATTATCATAATCACATGAGTTACACTCAGGGTCATCATAGATCGGGTTGGGTCGGGTGATATTCCATCTGTCATTTGTCTAAAATTAGGTGAATTGAAAAAAATTAATCCACATCCGTCTATCGATTTGGCGGATGCGGATTGAGCGGGCCTTGCGGGTTGGCGGATAGATACAATCGGTTTGATAGTTTAGACTTTACAAATTTTTGACATTTTTTAAATTTATAATTCATAACTTTTACGACCTCCAATAACTAGTGATTTGAAAAAATATGTATTATTTATCTATAATAAGCCATGACACCAAACATGCACAATTTAAAGGTATTATTTTTATTTTCACAAAAATATATATTTTATTATTTTTACTCTACGTTGTTATTTGTTAGCAGTTTATTTATTTATTGAACTTCATCTACTAGCACATATGGTTCATGTGAGCACATATGGTTCATGTGGGTGCGAGATGGTTGATCCACCATCCGAACCATATCTGCAAATTTTAAAATATTTTATCCATATCTGTCCACCGAAGGATACGCATCCACTCAAAATCAATCGGTAATATTAGTTTGGTCGGATTGAACGGATCCATGATCACCCCTAGTTGCACCATTTGAATTAAATGAATTTTTAGTTTTATTTTCATTAAGAATTTTGTTAGACTTTTTTTAACGGAATAATTGTGTTAGACTGGCTGTTGTTTCATTGATTTATCTCTCTTAAATTGTAAGTAACACTGACCGAACTCAGAGTCTTCTGTTCACATATTCAATAAAATAGACTAATCGCTCAGGTTGGAGGCAATTGCTTTGTGCAAATAATTTGAAAGTATAAAGATTAAACAGGCAGAAGGCTTGATTTTTATGTTTTATTTTTTGATTAATACATTTGTCATATTACACACACACTCTCTCACACACACAATCAACAATAAAAACAAAATACGAGAGAAAAAAAAAGCACCCCATTAATATTGAATGATGGGGAATATGCTGTAGAGATGGGGTTGCCATCTTTAATTCTTAGGATGGTTACTTATACGTAGAAATTGTGCGTCTGTTTATGTACTTCAGTATGTTTTATGTTGTATTTCTGATTGGATGCATGCAATACTTGTAATTCAACAGCTAATTATCATAAATTTGGCTTGGCATAAGGGAGTGATCCAACATTTGAGGTAGCACTTCTGCTTAAAGTATATGTATATATAGTTTTTTTTGCAATAGGTTTACAATCAGTTCAATGTATACTGTACATAGTAGTGTGGTACTATGCAACTGCTAGATTTAAACCTGGGAATGAAGAATCCCTTAAAGCTCTGCACAAATGTAGAGAACCATCCATATAATTCTAAATGTTTGATTTCAGTGCATAGAAATACAGATGTTCAGCTCGACATAGAGCAAGAAAATTCAACCAAGAAACTAGGAAAATTGCAAACTTCCTTTTTATCTTCTTGCTATGGTTGCAGACAAAGCAAATTTTCTATAATCTATTCTTTATACAAAACTGCATATTGAAATGTTACAAATGTAGTAAATGTTACTAAATTTGTAAACTTCTCCTTTCCTAGTTATTTGTTGTTGTTGTTCGATGCCAAAACCAAATCATCTTCATTATGCATAGCATTCATAGTAGCAATTGATGCGTCCCTCCTTGCACTACAACAAAATTAGTCTATAACCACGTTTTTTACACAACGTTTTTTTGAAAAACGCTGTGCAAAACCTAAAGTGAAATTAAAGACACGCGTGTTCCACTTAATAACGGTGCTCTGTCTCCCTCTACTCCAATTTCTCTTTCCGTCATTTTGTTCTCTCTATCGTTTTCTCTCTGTCCTGGATCTAGGGTTTTCTCTGTCTCCTCATGCTTCTTGAGAGATTCACTAGGGTTCAGATCTAATTCTAAATCCATTGATTCTTGCATCAATTTGGTTGAAATTTCTTGATGGTTTTTTTGGTTTTCTTGATTCTGATTCTAATGATTTTGCAGAGAAAGATGGTTCGGTTGAGTTGCACAAATCGGCGGGGTTACGAGACTGAAGAGTGAAGAAGGATCAAGATCATCTGGATCGAGACAGGGACTAGGACCGAGTCCGATCGAGTCAGAGCAAGGGGAAACCAGCCGATGAAATGATAGGCTTTTCTGTTCCAAGAAAAGCTCAAGCGAGATGGCGTTGGATGCGTTCTACTTGTTGAAGCTCCTCCTCAGGTCTGGTCCTCCTGTCGCTACCATCCCTCAGGTCCTCTCTCTCTCTCTCTCTCTCTCTCCATCAGATCTTCGATGTATAATTACAATATTATATACAGTAGTAGATCAGGTAACTTACAGAAGTGTCTCTTTGGTTTTGTGTTTATTGCCATGAAAGACTTAATTTATTATATTTCTAAGCCTAGATTTTTCAATTGCAAAATAGTTATTGGTGTTTAGATTTACAGTTCACGCCAATAGTTGCTTTATTTAATCAACTAAATCCTCTACGAAGCATAATAGTTGCTTTATTTTTTTCTTTCCTTTTTTTTTTTTGATTCTATTTTTTGTTAGATCTGGTCGAAATTAGATACGAGGTAGATCAGGTATGAGAAAAGGTTTATGCTTTTATAGATCTGTAAATTTCATGGTAGATCGAGTTTGGGAAAACGTTTATTATTATTATTTATGTATAATTGATTTTTATTGGGTAATTTGTCGGAGTTTTTTAGTCTGTGATCAGATCTGCCACTTTCAAATAGCTCTTTTAAATATCTGTGGAGAATAAGAAAGTTACTGGGAAGGTTTGTTCACCTGACATTTTGATTTCTACTCAGCACCTTTTTTGTTCACGCAACATAGTTCAATGATGTCTTGCAGTTTTCAATTGCTTCTTCACTTGTGCTTCTGTCTTTCTTGGTGGAGATGCGAAGTTACTTGAGCTAGAAAAGCATGTTCTCCCTCTTTACTTGAGTGTATATCTTTGAGATTGTTCGAATCCCTTTGAGGAAGGGCTTACATCTCTTTTCTTTTGTTCTAAACTTGGCGGGTTGGTAAATATGTAATTTTTTAACTCCTAATTTTAACTTCTAATTTCAATTTGATACTTGTCAATATGATATGCTGAAATGAATGACATGTAAATTTCAGTCATTTGATTCC